AACATGATCCATCACCAGAAATAGCCCTGTGTTGAATAGGAGAAAAAGCCCATCATTATGAAGTTAACTGTGTGTCTTTTAAACAGAAAAAGTTATGAAATTTTCCACTAGCAATAATCCAGGCTAAGATGACACTATGGATAAATAGCAGGCAGACTCAAGCCCAAAGGGTGAGTCAACAGCTTGCTGATGTCACAGCCAGGAATAGAGCTCAAATCTTTTCTTCCCCCTCTCTTCTACTGTTAGTAAGCAAGGCAAAGGAAGGACTATTTTTGTGTTCATGCACAAAACACAGTAAAAAAAAAAAAAAAAATATCACCACCACGTTTGAGAAACAACATGGTGGTGGTTTGGTTTTTTTTTTTTTAATCTTTAATTTTGTCAAAAACTCTAGCTTTTATTTTTCCTCAGTTACACACAGCTGTAAGCCACAAGATTTCCTATTTTTTTTTTTAAATATTGAATTCAACATTATTGTACACTTTATAAAGAAATTTAGACTACTACACAGAAAGTACTCACACACTGTATTTCACCAAGTCTGTTTCCTTTCTTGCTTTCCTAACCTAAGCAAGAAAAGCTTTAGTTATTTCCACTTTCTGCAAGATGCCAAGCACATCTGTTTTGCCCCCTTTGCCACCAACAACTCAAGCCTGTGAGCTGGAAAGCTATCTGTCTTATTGTTGTTTAAACCGTTCAAGTGGAAAATAACACCACTGAGGAGGAAGCGAGGCAGAATCAGCAGCACAGGTAGGAAGGCCAGTCAGTTGGTTCACAAGGAACAGTGAACTTCAGCATCTAGGAGTTGAGTTGTAATTATGTCTGCACAATTTTCCTATGTTGAAAAGATTGCTATTTCTACAACGCACGCTAAGAATTGGCCCTTCCTCCCTAGCTATGATCACAAGGCAAGCAATTAACAGTCGATCATCTAATAGTATTGCTTAGCAGTACATACTCCCAGCTGCCTCATCACCGCCTTTCCGACTTCATTTGGGATATATCTAATCCACTCGTTTCCTCAATAATATGCCCTGCAATTGCAGGATCCAAATTTAAGCAACCACTTAAAATAACTGCTATCCTTTCAGAGGCATAAAAATGCACCATAACTAGGATTCAAGACTATGTGCAACTTCATTCTGTACACACACTTGAAGCTCCAAAGGTAAATACACTTCTGCCTCTAGACAGCTTGCCAGGTTTTATTTTTCTTCACACTTGCACATGAAGGATTAGTTACATGAGTGCAGTATCATTATGTAACTGTATTAACCGTAGTATTAATCCATACAATATGCAACTTGAGGACTGCTCTCAGTTCTAATTCCCATTTCACAAGGGAAAGTCACAGAAAACATGGCACAGACACACGTCGCCTTCTAACAACCAGTTGAACATATTAGGATTCCTGAGCCTAGAACAAAGATTACAAATCTACACACTGAGCAGGATCTTAAGACACAGCAGAATCGAACAGAGTTGTTCACCTTTTTCAGCATAAGAATCTGAGAGCAGAGAGTTAAACCACTGGAGCTCCAGGACACTCCAAAGAACCAGTTCTTTACACAAGCAACAATTAGGCTATGAAACTCCTTCCTCCCCAGCATTCCTGATGCAAGAGCTATTGATAAAAAGCACACCTGAAGTTATTATACACACTACAAATCACAGTTTGTGGAGCTGGGATAAGTATTGCATGGACACCAACAGACATTTTGGTCTGCCTCCTTCACCTGGGCATTCTCTCCCATAGCCTGAAGAGTTGGACTGACTGAGCTTTGAGTAAGACATTTTATTTATCACAGGTTGCCACAGAAATTGTTTCTCTTTAAAAAGAAATTATGAGCTTACAGGTTTCCACAGCAACTTCATTGTTAAGGAATGGCTTCAGTTCCAGAAGACATTAAGAGAAGAGACAAACAGAATCACCTGAAGCTCTGTGTGTGAGACAGAGAAACCTAAAAAAAAACAATACAACAGTTCTACAAACTCACTCTTTCAGCACAATCACGCAAAAACACTGCTCTTCACAATGCGCCATTTAGATGGCAAGTGCATCTGGGCTTCTAAACTGTTTTAATGAACAGTTTTGTTTTTGTCTAGACATACTTCCTACATGCAGGCATCCTACTAAAATAATCAGGTGCCTTACAGCAATGTTGTAAGAAATCTGCCAGGAATCACTGCTCAAAACACTCCATTATTCAGTCATTAAGTGATTACAGTTGGAGAAAATGCGCTATAAGCTAACCTAGTAGTTTACTTAGTTTAATTCCATTTTACAAGACCTAGCCATGCCACTACTCTGCCAGAAGCTCTCAGGATACCTAGCAGCCCTAAACCAAATACACTATTCATAACACAGCAAGGAGAAAAAAGAAGAAAAAAAAAAAAAAAGCCAAGATAATGATAAAACCTCAAACTGCCTCCCTGCCACACATGCAGAGTTTTCCAGACTTTGAGGACAGGCCATTAGTATCATACTTTTGATTATTAGGGGACTGCTAACAAAATGGAAAGCATTGAGGTGTAGCAGAGAAAACGCAAAACCCCATTTGAAAGCTGACACTGTGAATTTAGTGGCAGCTAAACAGGACGTGAAAAGGCAATAGGGACACTGGAGGGAGACCTGCACCAGTACGGTGCGCGGTCTGCTGCAAGCTTAACACCTGAGCTGGAAGGAAGGAACACACCAGAAAGAAAGAGACTAAGTTTATTTACAAGTTACCACAACTGGACTGCAAGAACGTCTAATTAGCATCAGCGGCCTTACTAACTACGTCCACAACTGCAGAACACATTTCTTCCCCTCCTCCGACGCGCATGAGCTCGCGAACGAGCCCGCCCCGGCTGCGTGAAGAAGCGCTACCGCTTTCAGGCAGTCCCAAGGGGAACGAGCGAGACGCCAGAAGCCACGCTGCGGCCACCAGAGAGACCACAGGGGACGGGACGGCCGCCCCCATCGCTTGGGGTACCCGTGCAGCGTTCCCTGCCCGTCCCGAGAGGCCACACCGGCTGTAAGGCCCCACCACCATCACAGCAGTGCAAATCGCCTTGTCCTCGCCGGGGCCGGAAGCGGAGCCGCGCCGGCGCAGGGACAGCCCACCGCCGCGGGGAGGGGTGCATCCGCCACCCCCCGCCCGATCCTGCGCCCCCGGAGGCGGGCGGCCGTCGCCTGCCAGCCCGCAACTTATCGCGCAGGTCTAGTCCGCCGCTATGCCGGGGCCTGTACCTGCGTTGGAAGTCCTGCTCGAAGGGGGCCAGGTAGGGGTCCCGCTCCAGCAGCTCCGGTAGCTTAGGCGCCTGCGGGCCTTGCGTGCCGGAGACGGCCATCTTGCCGCCACGGCTCCGTGGCGCCGGGCACGGCCGCTATATACCTCTAGACTGGGGGGGGGAGGGGGGGGGAGGGAAGGGGGGGTCTCGGATCGGGGCGGGCGAGGAGCCCACTGCCTCTCACCGCCCGGCGCCGCCCACCGGTGGGGGCAGCCCCGGGACCGGGAGCCGCCCGCCTCCGTTGCCACTCCCCGCCCGCCTTTTGCCTCGCGGCCTTGGGCAGGGTGGGAGGCTGCGGCTGCGGGTGACGACTCCCGGGCTCTTTAAGGGGTACAGGGTGCGAGTGCTAAGAAAGATAACTCCGCTGCTCGGCGGGGCGCTGGGCAGCTCGCAGCCCAGCGCAGCGGCGCGGCTCTGACGGCATCCATGAGCTCTCATAAAACACTGCGTGTGTTTGGCGGAGTGTTGCTTTGCAGGGGCCGGAGGAGGCTTGAACAAAGTAGAGTGAGTTTAGTGGATCCTAAGGCAGCTGTAAATGCTGAATAGCACAGATAGATTACGAAGGACAGATTATCAATCAGCGTGTCTCATTTTTGAATAGGCCTCCAGATATCCAAGGCAACTCTTTGCCAGCCTGACCATGGCTGTAGGCCAACGTCCAGCAGTAGAGCAGTATTGCTTTGTTAATACACGTACTGACAGTGTGTATTTACAGGCCTCTTTTTGAATACTGTTTAGCCACAGGTTATAAACTTTCCAGCACTAGGGTACTTGACACTGCTTCCACGACTGTCTCCAAGATTTCTGTCCTTGGTTTGTAACTCGTCTCCCCTGCCTTGGCTTACTCTGGATTTAGAGTGGCTTCCTATTCTGCTGCCAGGTGACAGCCTATAACAAACTGCAGCAATTATTTATAGCTTCTCCAAAAATTAGCTGAAGTGACAGTTTTCAAAATTATTTGTTTCATCAAATGGTACGCATTTAACTACACTGTATTTCCTTCCTTGCAGCAGTATGCATACAAAAATCCAAGAACTAGGACAAATGCTGTTCAATATCTTTATCCATGGCATCAACAGTAGGATTGAGTGCACCCTCAGCAAGTTTGCGGAAAATGCTAAGCTGTGTGGTGTGGCCAGCACATCTGAGGGACCAGGATACCATCTGGAGGGACCTAGACAGCCTTGAACATTGGATCCAGGTCAACCTCATGAGGTTCAGTGAAGCCATGTTCAAGATCTTGCGCCTGGATCAAGGCAACCCCCTTTATCAGTACAAGATGGCAGTGAAGGAATGGAAGGCAGCCCTGCAGAAAAGGACTTGGGGGGACTGATGGATGGGAAGCTGGACATGAGCCAGCATTGAGCCCTCACAGCCCAGAAAGCCAACTGTATCAAAAGTACATCAAAAGAAGTGTGGTCAGCTGGTCGAGGGAGGTGATCCTGCCCCTCTACTCTACATTGCTGAGATCTTACCTGGAATAGTGTGACCAGACGTGGAGTCCTCAGTACAAGAGAGACATGGACCTATTGGAGGGTATCCAGAGGAGGGCCACAGAAATGATCCAGAGAATGGAATACCTCCTCTGTGAGGACAGGCTGTGAGAGCTGGGGCTGTTCAGCCTGGAGAAGAGATGCCTCTGGGGAGACCTGAGTGCAGCCTTTCAGTATCTAAAGTGGGGCTGTGAGAAGGGGACAGACACTTTAGCAGGCTCTGTTGTGATAGGACAAGTGGAAATTATTTCAAATTAAAGAGGGGAGACTTAGACTGGATATAAGAAAGAAGGTTTTTACAGTAAGAGTTAAGTTTTTCATAAAAGAGGCACTGGAACTGATTGCACAAAGAGGTCATGGCAGCCCTGTCCCTGGGGACATTCAGGGTTTAGGCTGGATAGGACTCTGAGCAACCTGATCTGGTAGGTGCCCCTGTTCATTATAGGGATTTAGACTAGATGACCTTCAAAGACCCCTTAAACGATTCTGGGATTCTGTGAAATTGTTACATAATTTGCCCCATCAGAAGGCCTGAGCAGTTTCTGTTTGTTTTGTGAAATAAATGGCATTAAACATCAGAGCTACCTGTCATAACCAGCTTACAATGGGATTTCTTTTTCTTTTTTTTTTCTCCCTCAGTGATTTCTTCAGTCTCCATCAGGACTGAAAACCTGTTACATGCTTCAGAACTGTCTGTGTAGCAGTGATTCCCTTGTCTGTGTTAAACCAAAGTTTAATAACTCTTATTTCTGACATCATGCTATGCACGCTATGTTTTCTTTTGCAAACTGTCTCTGCCATTCCCATAGTTATCTTGTGGGGCAAGCTAAAAGGGGAGCAAATCCAGCTGTTAATCAAGAGCCAGTAACTTGTTTTTCACAATAGCTAACATTTTACTTGTACTGCTGTTTGAGGCTTCCAGCTGTAATGGAGACGTTGCCTGCTGCTGAAGGGGAAGGAAGGGGGAAATCCCTGCAGTCTTTGAATATACTACCATAGGAAACAGGAGCTTCATTTTGAGCACAGTCTGTTTGGTTTTCTTAATTATCAGAAAGCTCAACAGGTTCAGAGTGCCATTATTAGCTATTTGGCTTAGGCACAAGAGAGGGATTTATAAATTGGCATTAGCAATCTATGTAAACAGTAGAAATATTGCTGTGACTTCTAGCTCCCTGGAGACAAAGACCCTTTCTTAACCTTTGCTTGCAAGATTGTAAGCAGAAATAACACAGTATCCTGACTCGCATCCAAGCATCCTTGAATGTCAGGAAGTTAAATTCTTCAAGTAGCCCCAAGTGCTATATTTAATACCTTGTGAATTAGGAAATGGATAACCATTCTATTTGTATCCGTCCATGTTCAAGTTTACAACTGAGGTGTGATTTTATCTGCCTGCTCAAAGACACAAAGGCATATATTACTGGGATCATCTATTCCAACACAATCTGGCTGAGACTCTAAGGCCAAATTTGGCTCTGAGGACATTGCCATTTAGTCTTCTACCTAGAGGCAAAAAGGGCACTCGAAACAATAAAAGTTGTCTCAGTAGATGAATGTTTGTTTGTATATTTGTCTGACATCCATACAAAGATAGCAGCTGCCAGTAGAGATAGGAAGAAGGGGTGGATGGTAATAACTGCACTTTTGGGGGACAGTAATCAATATAAAAGGAGTGGCATCTGAGGCATGTGTCTGGCACCCAGTTACCACCAAGAACAGAGTATAGCAAACCACTTTAAATTAGTCTTTCAAAGGATGTTCATGATTAAGTTGTGTATACTTTAAAATGTTGCATAGCAGTGCTATGCAATAACTAGTTACGATTCTTAGAGTGGTTTCTGTACAAAGTTCAAAAAAAAATCAAAGTTTTGTACTCAAGAACATTCAAGAACTGACTACTCATGTGATGCACTACAATTTTCATTTTCTCATATTTTGCTTTTACTTGCAAAAGTAGACCGAGATGCTAAACCGTAGGAACAAGATTCTTTCTTTGAAGCACTGGTTCAAATTCTTCTCACTATTGTGGCTCTCAGATTGGCCAGAGACCACCACATGGTGTTAGCTGGAGCCTGCAGAGAGACAGACATGGCAGTTGTTAAGGGTAATGTGTTTTCCTTCCAGTATAGGTATAAAGTGGGTGCTGCAAACATCCAATACATTTCTTAATTATCACTAATCTACATGGTCTTTACATGTAGGTCAGAGAATGGCAACTGAGATTAAACAAGTTCTTCATCCCTGCCTTTGAGCTTTCCAAGGCTCTGCTGAGATGCAGGAGGAAAAATGGGCAATGTTGTGCAGTTGCTGAATCTCAGCAGCATGTCAGAGTTCTTTAATTAAAACATAGTTTTGCAGATTTTGTAAGGATTCAACTGTTAATTAATTACTTAGGAAGAATAAAGGATATAACCTTGAAAATTACAGCAAACATTACATGAGTCCATTAGTATATCCTTTAATTAGTTTATGGTTTGGGAGTTTTGTTTTTGTTGGCTTTTTTTCTGTCAGTTTGTTTTAAGAAATGTATTATTCATTGAGGTTGTCTTTTTAGGTCTTACCTTTGACTTCCTATGGTATCAGGAGCTTTAAATAACAACACATCTTTAAAGATCAAAAGTAATCTGAAATCTAAACTACTAAAAAGCCAGTTCAGATTGTCAAATTCCACTAAATGCTCTTGATAGGACTGCTATTTGCACTTAGCATACAGAACCAAAATCATACTCTGGCAGCATGAAAGCTCTAGCTAATGGCTGCTTTTTGCTTTCATGTTACTGAAGTATTGCTGTGATCTGGTGTCCTCATGGAACACCTCCCCTGTGAGGACAGGCTGAGAGAGCTGGGATTGTTCAGACTGGAGAAGAGAAGCCTCTGAGGAAACTTGATAGGAGCTTTTCAGTGTCTAAAGGGGAGCCGTAATAAAGAAGAGGACAGACTTTAGTAGGGTCTGTGGTGACAGGACAAGGAGAAATGGCTTCAAACTAAAAGAGGGGAGATTTAAATTGAACATAAGGAAGAAGTTTTTTACAATAAGGATGGTGAGGCTCTGGTACAGGTTGCTCAAAGATGTGGTGGATGCTCCGTCCTTGGAGACTTTCAGGGACCTAATAAGGTCCTTTCCAACTCAAAAGATTCTATGATTCATTACTACTTAGTAAGAATATTTTACTTCATGTTATTACATCACCTCAGTAATACTCCATTTCTTTTTGTTTGTTTTGCTTTTGTTTCATCTTTGTAACAAACAGATAAACATTTATACTTTAAATAGTAGTCTTTGCACTTAACATACTTTTTTTTTACCATGGTTTTGAGATCTTAATTACAATCATATATAAGGTTAATTTTGAGTTTTCTGAGTTAATGTTATCCTACTTCAGCTGGAATTATGCATTGATGTTTCTCAGTTTCAAATGCCCTTCATTTTTTGGTATCTCTTTTGTTTTTTTGTTAATCTCTCAAAATTCTCCCTGGATATTGGATTCAGTCTCCTAATTCCACTCAAGAAACATTTGATCTCTGATTTTAGTTTAACTAACCACTCTGTGAAGATATTTCTCCCATTCTGCATGATCAGCTTCTACAGCAGGGTTCTCATACCAGTTCTGGTTTCCACTACTTTCATATTTCAACTTCTTTGTTAACACTTCATTCTCCTTGTGTCTGCTTAATCAGAATAACCTAAATTGTACAGATCTCAGCTTGTGCCAGTATTCATTCTTTCTGCATTATGTTTTCTTCTCAGGCAACATCCAACCTTATCATTTTCCAATTGTCCATTGGTTCCATCAGGACAGTAGACATTTCCCAATGATCAAATTGTAATTTGGAGTCTACAAAGGTGAAGTATAAGCCTTTTTGGCTGCAGCTGAGAGGTATGAATGGCCTTTTCCCTTATGTCACTCTTCAGTTCGCAATCCAGTAGAGACGTTGGAGATACTGTTCCAGTACATTGAATCTTTTCCAGTTTCCTCACTGTATCTGCATGTTTGTGCTAAATTTAACTGCTTTCTTGCTACACTATTTCCTACCAGTGCATATATGCATAGATTGCTTTGCTTTTGCATCTTATCTTGTCATATCTCTTTTGCCACATTTTCTTAAGAAGAATGAGTGTAAATACTGATAAAAATAATGGTGTTACAGCTTCTGAGTCATCTGCTCAGTTTGATATTTTCAAATTTGCTGCTTACTATCTATGATGGCTGATATCTCTTCTCCCCTCATATAGGCTGCTAGCTTATTCCATGTTGTTCTGGTATCTATAGGCCCTAAAACTAAATACACTCCAGGCCATCCATTATAGTTACTTGAATACATCTGTGTATTTAAACATTCAAGGCTTGTCAATTTCGACTATGTTGCCATGCACAAAACATTAAAGAGTCTGACAACTTTTTTCTGCTTCTATTATGTCTCTACTTTCTTTTGGCTTATGACCATCATAGTGGTATAATCATTCAAATTCTGGTCTTCCTTCTTAAGTTCATACAGTGTTATGCATCCACTCATCATAATCAGTTTCTAGATCTTTTGAAAGAATCTGGATCCCAAAGATTTAGTCCCTGCTTAATACTGTTTCCTCACCTCATCTATTTCTTCAAAAAGTAGAAGTGGACAAATCCTAGGTGCAGGGTCCTAGATAATTCCTAGGAGCAGAGTTGGAATGTCCAGCAGAGGACTGGTTTTGTTTTTATCTTTCCTCAGAATCGCAGAATTATAGAATCATGAAGATTGGAAAAGACAACTAAGATCATCTAGTCCAACTGTCAACATCACCATGCCTGCTGAACCATGTCCTCAGAGCCTTGGTTCCCCTGTCAGTGGCCTTGTCCTTTACTAATAAGCCATAAGAAAAACAGTCTCTGTTCAGCTGAGTCATGAGAGGTAGCAAAGACAAAGATCTCTGATCACCTAGGGCTATGATCAGAGGCTTTTAAAGCAATCTTTGGGCCTCCATACAATGTCCACCTAGTGCCAATTTGCCAAACTGCCACATTTTCTTTCTCAGATTTTCAGCAGTTGGCATCCACCACAAAGACTGACACCTATCTAAAAGAGATTTGCCCAGAGTGAACTGCAACCAGATCACTGAATGATTTAGCTACTATTTCTCTTCTTTCCTCAGATTATCAGTGATCTTGAGTCACCTGGGCTCAAAATTTATTAGTTATTTATTTGTTATAGTATACAAACTATTCACAGTAAGATGAATGGTAAGATATCTGACAATTCATGGACCAGTGAATGCCCTGAGTCTCTGGAATAGTGAGATTTCTTCACTGATAAGATTGTTATCCAAATTATTAGTAATGTTTGTTTTTTCCCTATTTCCCTGTTTCAGCTGCACATTTAAAATACTGAAATGCTTGTACGGTTCACAAATTATCTATTGCTTCTTGGCCTGTGCAATCTTTCAGCTTTCCTCAGTAATTCTTATGTTGTCTTCTGTTTCAACACTTGCACAAGAAAAACTCACAAAGGATTCCATCCTGGGAGCTGAGTCATTCTCTAAACCAAGAACTGTCATTCTCTGTACATAAAATATTCCTCTGCAGAGCTTAAGGGCAAGTATTACGTATGTGATTTTATGTTGATTTTTCTTTGGCTTCTCTTACTTTAAATTGCTTGCATATCTGAATCAGTATACCACATTATTTATCTGTACACACCAGAACTTTCTTTGCATTCATACAATTACATAATGTGTTACATAATGCCAAAATGTTAGTTATTTTTGTGTTCTAATTATTTATTTGATAGTCATTTCAATAAATACACTCACATTTTCACTTGTTTTGTATTTACACCTAATTCTCTTGAGCTTTAACTACTTTCTTCCTATCCAGGAAACCTCCAGTCCTCAAGGAACATGATCTGTACAATCAAATTGTTAGTCCAGTCACACCTCTAAAAGACAGTCATGGTGAATAGCAATCTAGCTTTAGTCATCTGAGATAGCTAACATTTAAAAGAGCTGACTAACAGTGACATGTATTAGACATGGAAAAAACAAGACCGGCTATTTATTTCTTTTCTTTTCTTAGCACTGTAAAGTACCTCACACATTCTTTGTATTTTTAAATAAACATTTTAAATAAAAAAACTAAATTCTGTATTTGTGATTGCCAAAAATAAACGCTTTAGTAGGTTGAAACCACTCTAGCACTATAAGTTATTCACATTATGACATTCCCTGCATATGTTAAAATTGATGTGTGGGACTGAAAGAGAATTATAGAAAGATTCCTGAACACCTCTGTTTTGATTTTTATGATACTTCTTGAAATAAAACTTTTCAGCTGATTTCTCCAGCATAATTTCACCTGTTAAAAATTCTCATGTTAGCTCTGATTTTATAAATAATGCCTTTATTAAATCTATCATTTTCCAGCCTACTACGTTTTTATTCCCCTTTCTTTACTTGCTTGCATACTTACCACTCTTTGTTTCAATGTTTTGTTTTGTCCTTTTAATTCTTTGTTTTACAGTAAGACTTGTTGCACTGCTTTCCTTGACGAATTTGTATCTGCATAGAAGAAAATTGAGCCTTGTGCCAACAGATGAGATAGACTTTATGACTTCTCTATGATCACACCACATATTGATAAAAGCATGTAACTGTGAAGTATGAGATGCAAATGTCAAAATATTTCTTTGTTATCGTAAGGAGTTGCAAAAGGAGTCATTCCTTTTCTGTACAATGAATTATGGGCATTCAGAACTGTAAAAAAGCCACTCTGCCAAGAATATAAAAATAAATGCCATTTGTTGTTTTTTGTTTTGTTTTTCTAATTTCCTTTCTGTAGAATGTAGCATTAATATTCTCAAAAAGAAAAAAGCCAACTCTAAGAAAAACTATCACATTGCCCACTGTTTTTCTTAAATCTGTAAATGTTTTGCAGGTCTTATCTTAAGTCAGCTGTCTTGCTCCAGGTTTTGATCTTTGGAATAAATCTAACTTATTTTGGCTTCTAGCATTTGTCCTGTCGTTCACACAATTTCATTTGTATGTTGGCAACGAATTTTTCATAAACATTGAGAGTTCTTTCAGCACTGAACAATTGCAATGAACTGAGGTAGGTTCTGTTGTACTTCTGTAACAAATTATTGTACAACAAGTTGAGTAGTTAAGGGAAAAAAGGCCTTTTTATAAGTTGGAAAATGGGCACAGTATGCATTTCAGGTTAATAACTTTTATATACTGCTTTGAGTGTATGTTTGCGTATTAACCAAAAGGCGGTTGATTAATTTTATTCTTTTTATTCTTTTCAAAAAAGTTTGAGGTTTTTTGTTTTTGTTTTTTTTTTAATTACCTCCATTAGTAAAAAATATTAAATATTCTCTGACAACTTTCCATTAGAATCACAGAATGGCCTGAGTTGAAAAGGACCACAACAATCATTTAGTTTCAATCCCCCTGTTATATGCAGGATCGCCAGTCACCAGACCAGGCTGCCCAGAGCCACATCCAGCCTGGCCTTGAATGCCTCCAGGGATGGGGCATCCACAGCCTCCTTGGGCAACCTGTTCCAGTGCGTCACCACCCTCTGTGTGAAAACCTTTCTTCTAATATCTAACCTAAGCCTCCCTGTCTCAGTTTAAAACCATTATGTTAGAGAAGATTCAGCAAGGGCTTAAATTTCTTTTGTCTTACACTCTAAACCTGGATAGCGAAGAAAATAAAATCGTCAAGAAGATGGTATCTGCATGTAAATAAAATACTGTCATTCACAGACATAAATATGCAGAGCTTATAGCTGTGAGAGCTATTTAAAAATCAGAAGTCAGAATATAGTCATGTTTGGAGGAGTAATACATAAAGTTATCCCTCAGGAACATACCCTTCTAAAGCGTAACCAAATAAATATCACAGAATCACAGAATCACCCGGGTTGGAAGGGACCTCAAGGATCATGTAGTTCCAACCCCCCTGCCTAGCAGGGCCACCAAACATACACATTCAGATCAGGTTGCCCAGGACCCCGTCCAACCTGGCCTTGAACACGTCCAAGGACGGGGCATCCACAACCTCCCTGGGCAGCCCGTTCCAGGGCCTAACCACTCTCCTTGTAAAGAACTTCCCCCTGACATCCAACCTAAATCTTCCCTCCTTCAACTTGGATCCATTTCCCCTAGTCCTGCTATTGTCAGCCCTTTTGAAGAGTTTACTCCCCTCCTGGGTGTAGGTTCCCTTCAGGTATTGATAGGCTGCAATGAGGTCACCCCGCAGCCTTCTCTTCTCCAGGCTGAACAAGCCCAACTCCCTCAGCCTGTCCTCATAGGGGAGGTGCTCCAGCCCCCTGATCATCTTAGTCGCCCTCCTCTGGACCCTTTCCAAAATCTCTATGTCTTTCTTGTACTGAGGGCTCCACACCTGGACACAGTACTCCAGATGGGGCCTCACAAGAGCCGAGTAGAGAGGGACAATCACCTCCCTGTCCCTGCTGACCACCCCTCTCCTGATGGAGCCCAGGATACCATTTGCCTTTCGAGCTGCCAGAGCGCACTGCTGGCTCATGTTCAGTCTCTCGTCCATCAGGACCCCCAGGTCCTTCTCTGCCGAGCTGCTCTCAAGGACCACTCCTCCCAGCCTGTACAGGTGCCTGGGGTTCTTCCAGCCCAAATGCAAAACCTTGCACTTTGCCGTGTTGAACCTCATTAGGTTCACCCAAGCCCAGCTTTCCAGCCTCTCGAGGTCCCTCTGAATAGAATTAGAATTAGAATTAGAATTAGAATTAGAATTAGAATTAGAATTAGAATTAAATAGAATTATTTCACGTGGTGCTGTATAATTGAGATGACTTGGAATTCCACCTCTTATAACACTTTTGATCTAACTGTTAGGTGTGACAGGGTAAGGTTCAATCTCCTCCTATCACAGGTTAGGAAAGACTTAGTTCTAAGAATTGAACTTAGAATTGAAGGAAGATAGTGAGTCTTCTTTTCCAATCTACATATTAATTATCAAAACACTCAGTGAATTTATGTTTGCTGACAAAATGACATACCTTGCTTACATATCAGTGGGAAAAAAAAAAAAAAATCGAGTTTCTTGCTAATTGAAACTGTCGCTTTCCTCAAGTAACTATTCTAATGCAGTAAAACCAAGGAAAGCAGAGGAAGATTTTTAAAAAATATATAGTTCTGCTTAAGCAAAACAGCACCTGCTTCTTTTTAGAAAGAATCTGAATTTAACATAAGTCTTGAAAAAGTTACTAAACTCATATTCTGATCCACCATTCTGAACCTTATATGACCATCTGCTGAATTGCTGGCTTCCCACTGATGTAAAACATCTTAGTAAGTAAATGTAACATAGTACTTGTACCTTAGAATTTGAGGAAGCAATGCCAGGGACATCTGCAGCCACAAGACAGGTAAAATGCTTCTATCCTCTTCTATTCTCCTCCAGCAGTGGTTTCTTAACTACTCTTGGTAATTAAGAAAGACTAGAGAATACGTATGTCATTAGCTCTATGTGTCTTTGTTTCCACAGGAACACCTTACCCTTTATTTTATTTTGTCCCTACTAATTCTTTGCCCCTGCACAGAGAAAAATAACTGCATAACTGCAGTTTCAGATATATGTTGCAGTGCCTTCTTCTGCTCAGTATAAAATATTTTTTTACTCACCTCCCAGTGTGCAGTCCACTGTGAATAAAATGCATTGCTAAGAAATTATTAATATATGCAACCTTATTTGACTTTCCTTTTAGTTGCTGAAATAAGACACTTAATTTCTTTACGAGTCTGTGGATGGATGTCTAGAGTTTATGGACTGTCAGAAGTGTGATTTAAGGATAACTAGTAGAGCTGCAAAGCAAACAAGAAGCTGCTCAGTGCTGGGTAGTAACAGTGCTTTTTAAAGTCTGTTTAAGGATCCACTGTTCCTATTAAGATGTACAATACATCTGTAGATTTATTTTATATAGAACAGGCATCTCCAGGCCATTATCATCACAAAGTTACAAATAAAGTATAGAAATATTTCAGTATATTTTCAAAACACGTGGTACTAGGAGTAGATTAAGGAGTTTATTATTCGTGATCAAAGACAATAGCTGACTCTGCTGTAGTAGTGGTGAATAAAAGCAAAATTGAAAATGCTCTATAATTTCATCCTTTTAATAAAATAAAACCTCAGTGTCAGCTTAGAACTTGGTCGGTTTTTTTTTTTTTTCAAGAACTAATAAAAAATACAATGTAATTATTTTATTACTTAATTTTCACCCAATCTGGTAATGAATGGAAATAAAAAGCATTAAGTCTTTTAGAAACTTTTTCTCCACATGTTTAATATCTTTTCTATAAATTCAGAATTTGGTCTGTGCACTATTTTTGGTCTGTAAGTAATCCACAGATAATCTGGTACTAGCATTCATGTCTGGAAATTTGATATCATTTGGCTTGTTTGATTGAACTTACATGACAGTCCTGTTAGATGTGGGTACTTAACAAATCACTAGTCCTGTTCAAATATTATTCTGAGTGATTTTTCTCTGGCAGTCATTGAAATTCATTCTTTTTGTAAGGCTATAATCATGGAAGAAAAAAAATAATGGATCAGTAGATGTCTTAGCATATTTTTTTACTGACTTGACCAAATATTCACACAGAAATATTTCTAAGCATTCAGTAACTGGCAGACTAACAGTGCCTTTATATTCAATAATACCATCTCATGGGAAAAGAATCGTTGCCGGATCTCACCTCCACCCAGTCTCTTCAATGCAGTCTTTTTGAGTGACAGGCCTCTGCCCACATGCTACCCACAGCAGAACTCCCAAGAAACTGCTTCTTTAAACCTGGCGGTAAGTCTACAGCATCCTGTATTCTGTATTCTTGCATTTAAATCTCCTTCTCAGAAGCACATCCCTTAAATTGCTAAATGCAGTACACTGTATTCTTTCTACTATGAATGCCCTACAGCTACCACTTTTTGTCTGAGCTCCAAAGAGGCATTTCTGTCTCTATTCGCATGGCAAGCCAAGCTACAATTTGTCTCTGCATGATGCTTCTCTGTGGTACTACACCAGTGCACAACAACTTGCAATCTCTCAAAGAACTGTTTTAAAGAAAACTGCAAAACATTTGTCCATCTGTATCTCTCTGTAAAGCTTAACCCTGTGATAAGCATCACAAATCTGACTGCCTCAGGGGTGCCAAGCAATAGTTCAATATCACAGATCTAGTACTCAGCACCCATCTTTGTGTTTTTCACATCCTTTTGAGATGCTGGTCAGTGATTCCCTTCCCCTCCCATTCTTTCCCACACTGGGTTTACCCTGAATTTTGATTGTAACTCTTCAAAATAGAAAAGCAAGGGTATAACCTGAAGATAGGCAAAGCAGGGCATCCCTAAATTAGCAATTCTGCTATTTCTCATTCCAGAACTCTTAGTATGTTCTTGGAAAGTCTGGTTCTCTTCCTTCATTCATTGCTTATTTCAAGGAAATTCAATGTGAAAATATCAGGCAGTTAAACTGAAATATATGTAATATCTATGAAGAAGATATTACACCCAAGTTCTAAGGAAGTCGGAGACACTTTTGCTGCTAGTTGAGTTCCACTCAGTGTAAGCAACAATCAGAATATGACCCTGTACTACAGTGGTTAGAGAAACCATGGGCTGTTTATTTTAACTGCTACATTAACTAACCATGATTATTTTTAATGGAGTTAGTGTTGAAATCATTACAGGTGGCATAAAGGAATTTTTGTTAGCGGGAACAAAGGAAAATAATCTGAACCTTTAGCAACCCCAGAGAGATAGCTGATGTTCCAATGTATTTGCAGTATGAGTCCTCAGAAGAGCTCTCAGTAATGTCCTTAGAGTTTAGCTCATAGATAAGACGGTTTCCTGTAGTTCATTTCCTAAGTTACTTCCTGCTGGCCTACAATATTACATCCATCCATCTCATCCTCAGGGCTTCTTTCTGTTGTTTTTTTTTCACCTGCCATACCTAAAGGTATG